AAAAAAAAAAAAAAAAAAAATCACAAAACTACCAAGGTTAATACACTTAGAATTAATAGTCTGTTCATGGTGAGATGACAGAAATCACATCAACCACAGCCGACAAGTTTTCAGACATTAGCTTTTCCAAAATCAAGGGTGGGGTTAGCTTTGGAGAGGAGGCGAGTGTATAATTTATCAGCTTTACTTCTACAATCCTTCCTCAAGTCCCTGCTCCTAAGACAAGAATTTGACCTATTTTTTAACTATCTTTTGGTACAGGATTTTTAACTAAACATTTTTTTTCTATTTGACTTTTCTTTTCCATGCTAAGGCTTGAACCCAGGGGCCTTGTGCATGCAACACAAGTACTGTATCAGAGTTACATGCTCAGCCTTTTTTACTTTATTTTATTTTGAGACAGAGTCTCTCTATAGTGGCCCAACTTGGCTTCAAAATCAGAATCCTCTTGCCTCCCCATCCAAAGTTTCTGCTATTGCCAGCATGGACCACCATGCCAGTTTATTTGACAGCTTTATTTACCCAAGTATTATAAGATGTTGATTAATATATAAGGACTTAAAGGTCTCGTATTGTATGAGGTATGATTAAAATGAAAGGAGAATGTGTAATTTTTTAAACTGTATAACAGTATAAGACACGTTGCCATTAATCCCCCTCAGAAATACCCCCCTCATCCCCAGTCCCAAAAAATATAAAACCCTCACCTCAAACACGCTCATCCCACCCTCCTCGCCACTTTCTGAAGCAGTCCCTGAAGTCCTCTTTCCTGAGTGTCTTTAGTTGCACTGCTGTGGACGCCTCGATTTCCTGAGGTGATGTAAAACATTACCCTGCGTGACAGTTGGTTGAATCCCTAGATGTGGGACACGTGGACACAGAGGTATGGAAGGTTTTCCATACAGATTTCCTCTAATGTATGTAATTCAGTGAAGCCCTAGAAACAAAATAGAACTCCCCACCCCCCGGCCATGTTTCTGGCTAAGGTTTAAAAAGAAGGGGTTTTCTTGGCTTAGAGGGGAGGTTTGATGTTATATCACCATCACCGCTGTCTAGTTCCAGAACTTTTTCCTCATCCTAAACAAGATTCTGCTTATTAAATAATAACTCCTCATTCCCTGCTACCTCCTGCCCCTCGTAACCACAGTTCGACTTTCTGTCTCTATGGATTTGCCTACTCTAAAAACTTCATACGAATGGAGTCATGAAATATTTGTCCTTTTGTGTCTGCCTTAATTTGTCCTTGATTCTTAGTAATGGTCTTACCCAATCTAATCGAATGAGACTTCTAGCATGAATATAAATTGGATTAATCTAATTCCATGCTGGCAGGAAGAGAACAAAATTTTATTTAACTAGCACAAATATATAGTTATTAAAAATAGAGTAACTTAGTAAAGACCTTTCATGAATACTTAATCATCATTCTGAACGGTTTTGTAAACGAGGCCAACAATACATGCTATGATCTTGCAAAATAATTATCTGTGGTTTTCCGATTTGTTATTAATCTACTATAGAGATTTCTTATTCTGAAGTGTCAAAATAATGTATCATTTTTCTTTTCTTTTTTTTTTTTTTTTTTT